CCAGTCCCACGAGGACTGTGCCCTTAAACCCGCAGGCGCTCCCGGTGCGGGCCCGGTTTCCGTTTCCCTCCGAAGACGGTCGGGATGCACCGGGTGTCCTCTGGGCCAGGGGCGAGCGAGCGAGGCGGGTGGGCGGCGGGGACCCCGCCGCAGAGGCCGCAGAGCGAGAAGCAGGTGGCGGCGCCGTGGCTGCGGGTCGCTGGGTCCGGTGCCGCTGCGGCCAGGCGGTCGGTCAGAAGGACCCGCGGCGGAGGGGGGTCTCCCCGGTGCGTGTGCGGGGGCCGGGGACGGTGACCCCGAGTGGACGGAGGAGGGACGCGAGGGCTGCACGGCGCCAGGAGGGCGCGCGCTCACACTTACCTGGCGGGGGCGACACCGATCACGAAGCTGGTTCTCCCAGGCGAGGCTCGGCCATGCACTCAGGGGTGTGGAGCCCCACGAGCTCTCCCCTGACCTCCCCGGTCCCTGGTGCCACACTGCGCCCCGCCGGCCCCACCCGGCGCCTCACCACCTCCCAGGCTCCCCCATTTCCTGACCCAAGTGTGTGGACCCCTCTGCCTCCGGCGCCGCGCCTCCTCCTGTCCAGACGGGCACTCCCACAGTCACCACAAATGCCCCCCGGTGCGTGGTGCTGGGGAAGCGTGGCCGACGTGTCCCCATGACCTCCCACTCCACAGTCCTCCGGCCAGATCCCAGGGAGGCACCCCTTCCAGGAACAATGAGGCCCGGACGGACCCTGCTTTCGCCTCCAGGCTCCCAGCTCCCTTTCCAGCACGTCCTTTCCCTGCTGGGGCTAGCCAGCTGCAAAAGTTTATTTAACGTGCAAAACGAAAGTACACTGGAGGAGAAGATTCAAGGGGGCTGCTCAGAGAGATGCCTTGGCCTTTAAGAGAGAGTCATGGAGGCAGAAGTGAGCCAGCTGGGCTGTGTGGACTCAGAAAACAAGTTCAGAGACAAAAGAAGGGCCCTTAGAGCAGTGGTTCTCAACCTTGGCTGCACATTAGAATCACCTGGGAATCTTTTTAAAATCCTGATTTCTGGGCCTCATTCTCCGGAAATTCTGTTTCTTTGTTACTAACGTTGTGGCTCCACCCCATAACAAAGAAACAGAATTTCCAGAGGATTGGGCCCAGATATCAGGATTTTTAAAAGATTCCCAGGTGATTCTAATGTGCAGCCAAGGTTGAGAACCACTGCTCTAGAGAGTGTGTGTGTGTTTGTGCTCGCAGGTGCACTGGGTCCTTTGCCTTAAGTGTTTTTGTCTGTTTTCTAAAGGCAGGAATTTTAGGGGAGGTCTCAGGGAGGATCTCCATAGAATAGTCATCAACTTTCCAGGTGTGTCCTTTAATATGCTGATTCATCAAAATTAGCACATAGGGTCAGGGCCTTGGTCTCTACTGATTGGTTGGTGCTAGTGTCGGGGGCGAGGAATCACTGGTCCTGATGTCAGCTATGGTGTCGCTTTTTCTGGTTTTGGTGCTTTTCTGGTCCTGGAGTTGAAACACAACTGAGGCCTAGATATTCTCTCTAGTTTGAACAAAATGCTGTCTCAACAAACTGGAGGCTTTGTTCCTATGATTATTTGATGCTGATCAGAACCTCCTTGTCCTGAGGGCTCAATGCTTAATGGAGTGCACATGCAAAGGAGAAGAGGCGGGTGAGTCAGGGTGCTGCTGGGTGAGGCCAGTGGGAATGGGCTCGCTGTCTCCGTTTCCCCATTCCACTTGCCAAAGCATTCTCCTAATTGTTTACTCTCCTGCCTCACGGGGAGGAGAGCAATGGACAGGGAGAATCCGGGCATGTGGAAAAGTCTCCTTCAGGCGCACAGCAGAGAACTGATAGGACACGCTTGGGAAGAAACTGCCGGAGGCCCAGGGAAGACACTTCTGTAGAGACCCTCAATTCTACTAGAGACTTAATCAATACACACTATTAGCTCACAGTTTCTGTGAGGACGAATCCAGCCTGGCTCAGCTGGTACTACTGCCAGTGTCCCTCACTGAGATCTCAGCTGAGGCAGGATCTGTGTCACCCAGGCTCTGAGCTCACACGGGGCATCTTCGGGATTCAGTTTGGATTGAAGGCCTGATGTCCTCTCTGTTGGTCTTGTTCAGTGCTAGGCCATGTGGATCTCTCCAGATAGCAACTAATAACACAGAGGTTTATTCTTTAGAGTGAGTGACTGAGAGAGACAGAGAGAGAGAGACAGAACACAGGTCAGAGTGAGCAAGTGGGTAGGCATTGACTTTTTTTTTTTAATTAAAAAAGATGATTTTCAAAAGAGGAAGGAAGAGAGTGAGAAACATCTATGTGAGAAAGAAGCACTGATTGGTTGCCTCCTGTACATGCCTTGACTTGGGATCGAACCCACAACCTAGGTATGGGGAATGACCTCTGACAACTCTGTAAAGACTCTCAGTTGCCTAAGAACACCCGAGATTCGGGCCAGAAGGCATGGCCAGATACGTTACAGCCCCTTTATCTCATTTATACAGCGAAGGTTTTTTGCTCAGACTCTCAGAAAGTAATTCCAATGGAAACACCAGAGTTAAAAACCAGCCACCTGTGTTTCTGTAGCCTGGGTTCTGTCAACCCTTAACCTTAATTCTACCCTGAGGATTTAAAAATATAGCTCAAGTCAAGTCAGATTCTCTACCACAAGAAAGGGAAGGTACTGGATCCAACAGACAACTTAGCCAAATTCACCTGACAGGCAGGGAACTGGTGGGCTCAATGGGCCCTTTTTTGGATCCTGGCACCAAGTTGGGTCTGCAGGGTGGTCCTAGGTGAGCTTTTTTGGAATCCTGCCGCACTATGCCAAATAAATGTCAATATAAGAAGCATTCAAACCTGTGCAGGATTTTTGTGAGTTTATTGGAGCCAAACTGTCAACAATTGCCGGGAAGCAAAAGCTCAATGGATTGAAATAATGCTCTAGAAATGGCAGTTTTGCACCTTACTTTATACATTACAACCAGAAGGGGAGATGTATGTGGGTCCCATGAACTACACTGGTAATAGGTTAGGGATGCGGGAGGAAGCAAAGCAAGGACATCTCTGGGAATGGATAAAAAGCAAAATGATAGACACTTCTTTTATACAGGTGGATGTAGGATAGTTAGCAGTCAGCAGTGAACTCAAGAACAATGAGCAGATTTGTGGTCTCTGCAGAGCACAGAGCAGTGCCTGTGTTTTGAGGGGTCTGGAAAAAGGAAAATCCCTTTGACATCCCAAAGATATGTTACAGTAGATGCCAAAAGACAATACACAGGCTCCTTTAAGGTAAAGATTGACTTTGTCAGGGAAGATTCCGGCCTAACACATGACTACACACCATAAACCTCTTTTAGTTAACAAGTTTTAATTTCAGGCCAAACTTTGTAATTTAGTTAGTTTAGGTTTCTGAGTTTGAAAGGCCACCATGCAGGCCTTACCTGAGCTATCACAGGTGAGCGTGTGACCCCCTTTTCATCCACACTCTCCTTCAGTCACTCGTGTCCCACCTCTTGCCACCAATCATGTCCCTCCTCTGTCCCACCATAGGGGGAGAAACCATCGAAGACCTATATGCTGCAAGCAGCTGAAGCTTCCTCACCACCTGCAGGCCTGGCCGGCACACCCACGGTGCTCAACACGCCAGTGCCCATGAACCTCTTTTCTACCTGCGAGGTGGACTGCTCCAGCCCCAGCTGCATGCCCAGGTTGTGCAGCCTGACTTTAAAGAAGCTTGTGGTCTTGAAGGAGCTGGAGAAGGAGCTCATCTCCATGGTGATAGCAGTGAAAATGCAGGGCTCCAAGGGCATCCTGAAGTCCCATGAGATTGTGTTGCCCTCCAGCGGGCAAGTGGAGAGCGACCTGGCACTGACATTCCTCCTGCAGTACCCACAGTTCCTCAAGAGAGAAGGCAACAAGCTACAGATCATGCTGCAGCAGAGGACGTGCTATAATAACCGGATCATCCTGGGCTACCAGACACTGGCCACAGGCGCCATCCACATGGCTGAGGTAAAGCAGCGACCCCCCCAAGGGTGGCCAAATGCTGAGTCTCTGCAGCAGCTTCAAGGAGGTCTCCACCAAGGTGGCTGAGATCTGGATCTTCTCCCTGTCCAGTCAGCCCATCGACCACAAGGACAGTTCCATGCAGGCCAGCTCCAAGGCCAAGTCCATGGATAGTTACATTGAGGGGGAGTCTGAGAGCTTCTCCTCTGAGATGGAGACCAGCTACAATGCCATGCACAGGCAGGACATGAATGAGGATGACTTTGAGCTGGGGCAGCCCAAGAGGCAGCAGCGATCCATGCAACGAAACTTGAAGCAGAAAGTCATGGGGCTGCTTCCCAGATCCAGTGTGTCAGAGGAGGTCCTGGACTTGAATCAGGACCCTGCGGAGCATGTCCCAGAGGTAGAGGACCTGGACCTTTCGTATGACAGCCTTGAGAATTCCAGTGACAGTGGCCAAGACATGGAGGACGATGACAGCATCCTCAGCCCCCACAAGATCAAGCTCAGGCCATATTTCGAAAGCCTGCCACACTCGAGCTGGCAGACAGAGAGGAGGAGCATCCTCAGTACTTGGAGCCAGAAGGAGCCTCCAAGTCTGGTCAACATGCTTGTGAAGACCCAGGGTCTGGGCAGCAAGCAGCTGAGTGACAGTGTCTCCGACTTGGTGGCCTACAGCACACCCACCATCAAAGTGAACAAGATCTGGATCTTCTCCCTGTCCAACCAGCCCATCAATCACCTGGACAGCACCATGCAGGCCAGCCCCAAGGCAGAGTCCACGGATAGCTTCTCTGAGGGAGAGTCTGAGATCGTCTTCTCTGACCTGGAGGCCAGCTACAATGCCATCCGCAGGCATGACCTGGACGAGGATGACTTGGACCTGGAGAACCTGATAGTAAGAAGGAGGCCCATGCCCAGGCGAGAGAAGTACCAGCAGAAAGACGCAGCGTGGCTGCGCAGGTTTCAAATGACGGAGGAGGTCCTGGAGTCAGAGCAGGACCCTGTGGAACAAGACCCCGATGTGGACAAGGACCTGGCCCTTCTGTTTCACAGGCTGATGAACCCCAGAGACAGTAGCTCAGACACGGAGAATGATGACTGCCTCCTAACCCCACCCATGCCTGAGCTCATGACAAACTCTGAAAGCCTGTCAAGCGGCCCAGACCAGGAGGAGGATGACAGAGTCCTCAGCACCCCCAAGCACAAGCCCAGGCCATACTTTGAAGGCCTGTCACGTGGCCCAGACCTGGAGACCACAGTCCTGATCTTCCAAAAGGAGTTGCATCCCGCATGGTGGGAGGCCCCACTTCCAAGGCCATGTCAGTTCTGGGTCTTTAAAGAATAAGAAGGAGATGAGCCCATGTTTTAGGGACCAACTTCAAAACAGCCCTATTTGTTGTCAGAGACATATTGCAACTATTGTGACAAACAGCCAAGTCCTACCCCAGCATCTCCCTTATGACTCACCACCGCCAGAAAGGCTGTAGGTATCTTCCCTTCCCTGAGCCAAAAGTTCTTTGGCAACAGGGACTACACATCCAGGTCAATCACTTGGAGCCATCTCGCAAGCATTTACTGTTTATCCTGAGCCTCTCTTTCATACATCCCTATGGATTCTGGACCCCAGTTGTCCTTGGCTGTTTGGAGCGGAGACCTGGACCATTTGTTCAAGGTACAGAATTTAAGAAGAACCCACTGAGCACCACTCATTGGAGTTTAGGATGAACATATGGTCAGAGCAATATTTTAAAGACTTTATCTCTCCTCAATGCTCGAACTTTAGAAGTGAAGACAAAAAGAATAAAATAGAATCTGTAGATGCTGGAGATGTACAGTGACACACAGTATAACCCCAGGAGGGAGGGGTAACTTTCTGAGGAGCAGAGGGGGACCAAGATACCTTAGATGAGGCATTTGAATGAATGTCAACACCTAGGGTTCAAGCAAGCAAACCAGGGAAAAAGATTCCAGACTTTGATATGTGAGCAAAACTACAGCTCAGAACAGACATGACATCAGGAGGACAGAAACACGTCTAGAGCCAAGAATGTTGGAAGTGAGAGGTTTGGGACAGGCACCAACTATGTCCCACCCAGTACCCAACCTCTCTTCTGAACTAACAGAGCCCAGTTTTATTGGGGTTTAGGGTGCCCAGTACCCCCATGTGAGTCTGGTCTCCTCTAAGCCATTCTGACAGTCCTGTCCTTGCTTTCCCTATGCCCCTTGCAACCAAGAGTGAACATGTGTCCCACCGGTTCTGCCCAATGACACTGAGTGATGCTGGGCCAGGCTTCTGGGACTCTGCTTTTCTGACAGGAGGGCACAGGGAGAGCTGGCCCTGCCATGCCTCAACCCATGCCTGGGTTGCTGGTCCTGGACACAGGCAGTCATCAAAAATACTTACCCAAGTGAGGTGAAGAGTTACAGCTTCATAAAAACGTCCAAATGAATGACTTTAGAAACTTTATTCATAATTGCCCCAAACGGGAAGTAACCAAGATGTCTTTCAAAAGGTGAATGAATAAACAAACTTGGCACACCCATACAGTGGAATATTATCCAGCAAGAAGAAGAATTGAGCTATCAAGCCACAAGAAGACATGGAAGAAACTACAAGGATATTGCTGAGTGAAGGAAGCCATTCTGAAACAGCCACATACTGTATGGTTTCAAATATATGACATTATAGAAAAAGCAAAACCATATTGACAATTAAAATATCAGTAATCATCAGGATTCAGGATAGGAGGGGATGGCTGAAGAGTTGGGGCACCGGTGATTTTTAAAGCAATGAAACTACTTTGCATGATACTGTGATGATGAATATGTGGCATTACACATTTGTCCAAAACCACAGAATTTCACAATAGGAACTGAACCCTAGTTAAGCCATGGACTTTAGTTCAGAATAATGTATCAATATTGGTTCATCAATTATAACAAATGTTCCACACTAATTAAGATGTTAATAAACAGGGGATACTGTGGGGAGAGGGGGTATATAGGAAATAAACTCTCTGTTCCAAAATTTTCAGCCAATCTAAAACTGTTCTAAAAATTAGAGTATATTAATAATAAAAATAATAAGATCTTGGTTGTTTTTTTTTATTGTAAGCCAAGTTTGATTGAAACAAATAGCCCTGGAGAGTTAACTAGAGGTACCTTCCTGAATAAGAACCTGGGTTATGAGCAAGCATTCTATTTTCTTCTTCTCTGTATTTTCTGGAGCTCTCTTACAATCTTATCTAAAAGCTAGCTAATAAATTGAATCTGTTTTTTGAGAACTAAGTCTCTGAATGTACACTTAATAGCATTTTAGATTTTCTGTCCACCAGAAAATTACTTAACCAATTTATTTATTTTATTTATTTTTTAAAATATAATTTTATTGATTTCAGAGAGGAAGGGAGAGTGAGAGGGAGATAGAAACATCAATGAGGAGAGAGAATAATTCACCGGCTGCCTCCTGCACGCCCCATGCTTGGGGATTAAGCCCGCAACCTGGTCATGTAACCAGGAATTGAACTGTGACCTCCTGGTTCATAGGTTGATGCTCAACCACTGAGCCATGCTAGCTGGGCCCAATTTATTTTAATTCCTTGGCCTATCCATCTCTCCTCCCCCAAAAGTTAACCCTCTCTTCTTGGGTTATAGACTGTGTCATTGTACATCTCCAACATCCACAGTTTCTATTTTATTCTTTTTATCTTCACTTCTAAAGTGGGAGAATTGAGGGGGAGATAAATTCTTTAAAAATTTTTCTTGCCATTATGTTCATCCTAAAGTACAGTGAGTGGTGCTCAGTGGGCTCTCATTAAATTTTGTACCTTGAACAAATGGTACAGATCTCAGCTCCAAACAGCCAAGGACAGCTGGGGTCCAGAATCCATTGGGATGAATGAAAGAGAGGCTCAGGATAAACAGTAAATGCTTGCGACATGGTTCCAAGTGACTGACCTGGATGTGTAGCATGTGTTGCCAAAGGAATTTTGGTTCAGGGATTGCAAGATACCTTCAGCCTTTCTGGTGGTGGTGAGTTATATGGGAGATGCTGGGGTGGACTTGGCTGTTAGTCACAATTGTTGCAAACAGTAATTTCTCTGACAATAAACAGGGCTGTTTTGAAGTTGGTCCCTGAAACATGGGCTCATCCCCTACTTATTCCTTAAACACCCAAGACTTTCACAACCAGAGACTGCCCTGGGCCCTTTCCACATACCTCACCAGACAGGGTGGCTGATCCCCACAGGAACATGAGGTCAGAGGTCAAAATCCCTGGTCACCTGAGCTGGAAACCATTGAAAAAGAAGACAAAGTGATGGGCATGTGGTATCTAAAGCAGAATTATAAAAAAATTATTTCATATAAAGGTATATAAGTATACAATGAGGAACAAACACAATACAACATACAGCTTATAAATGTAATACTGAGAAAAATAAGGCAGACACAGAAGAATACATAGAATATGTTTCCCTTCAAGTAAGATTTGAAAGTAGGGGAAATGGCAGTGTTCAGGAATGTATGCTTAGGTGGTAAAATGAAACAGGGAGAGGGTCTCATCATAAAAGTTCAGATGATGGTTTTGGAGGATAGAGAAAGCAGGCTGGTGTGGGTGGTGGCAATGTTTAATTGACGTGGGGGACAGTCACAAGTGTAAGATTCATTAGGCTGTGTATAGTAGTTTGTTGTACTTTTCTGCATAATTAATCTATATTAAAAAAAAAACATGGAGAGAACACGGGCCAAACTAATTATTTACATTGGTGAGCATGCATAAAAATAAACAAAAAAACCCAGAAAACATATTGCTTTTTTGGCTTTTTGGGGGGAAATTGAGTGGTAATGTAGATTAAAGGAATATTGTTGGGGTCCATCCCCAACAGGTCCAGGGGTTCCCAAAGGTGTGGATGGAGTCGGTGAAGAAGGAAGGAATGACAAGGAGATAGCGTTCAGTTGATCAGCAGCCTAGCCAGGTTCTGTGTTTATTGTCTTGTAACATCTGTATTTATACCAGTTGATTTTAATCTTATCAATTCTATTCCAAAGGTTAGGGCGTTTCTTATCACCATTCCAAGGTTACTCTATTGTTCTATTAAGCTACAAGGGAGTAACTGAAGGAGATTATCCTAAGTAAAGATTATGTAGCTTAAGCATGATTGTTTGTAGTTAAAGTGATTAATTACCCGCCTGGCACTTAGTTAAGGGGTTTTATTCCCTCCCTAACTCCACGGAAAAATCCTCACCTGGGGAAACAACCTTTCTCTGGAAGGTGGTCCTGTTTAAAACACATAGTGTTAAGAGGGGGAGCAAACATATGCCATATACGCCAGGTCCCTTGAAACATAAGCTGTGCAGATGTTTCTTCCCTGCAGCGACTGTGTCAAGCATCAAGGGTGGACCCGCTTCCAGCAGAATATAAGTATGTAAGTAACAATAAGATACTTTGCAACAGATTAATGATGCTTAGATTCCAGAAGCCAAGGACTATACATAGTTCAGACTCTGAAAGTGAGGCCAAGACTGAACAAAGCAAAACTTAAATATAAAAGTTAAAAATGAATTTGAAGTATCTTGACATTGTTCAAATTTCAAAAGCTATACCAGGGCGAATGTGGGAATGACATTTCAGTTCCTCTGTTCCAAGTTACGCCCTCTCCAGGTTTCCTGTGTATCCTGCACAGCGGGCTTTTAGTGGCGATGAGAACACATTACATAAGTGAACCAGAGAGGGCTGGTGCTGGTGCAGATGTGGACATAACTGGGGACAGAAGGGCCAAGTGTGGAAGCCAAATCATTGGGGGGGGGGGGCATAGTGACCCAGGGTCAGTGGTGGGCCTGGTCCCAGGGTGCCCAATGCCTGAGCAGTCCCCTCACTCAGGGGAGGATGTTCTAAGGCAGTGGTTCTCAACCTTGGCTGCACATTAGAATCACCTGGGAATCTTTTTAAAATCATGATCTGGGCCTCATCCTCCGGATATTCTGTTTCTTTGTTATGGGGTGAGGCCACAACATTAGTAACAAAGAACAGAATTTCCAGAGGATGAGGCTCAGAAATCAGGATTTTCTAAAGATTCCCAGGTGATTCTAATGTGCAGCCAAGGTTGAGAAGCACTGTTCTAAGGGAAGCAGAGAGCAGAAACAAGGATTCCTTAGTGAGTCACCAGGGAAGTTCCCCAGAGAGCCCCAGGCCTCCTCCTAACCTCCAAGCTCCTGTCTCCTGTACCTGAACTAGATTTTATACAGCAGGTTGGGACACAGCAGATTCTAGGGCAGTGATGGCGAACCTTTTGAGCTTGGCGTGTCAGCATTTTGGAAAACCCTAACTTAACTCTGGTGCCGTGTCACATATAGAAATTTTTTGATATTTGCAACCATAGTAAAACAAAGACTTATATTTTTGATATTTATTTTGTATATTTAAATGCCATTTAACAAAGAAAAATCAACCAAAAAAATGAGTTCGAGTGTCACCTCTGACACGCGTGTCATAGGTTCGCCATCACTGTTCTAGGGCATGGCCACTGACTCCTAAGCAGACTGTTTTGCATAAGGGAAGGAGGGACATCATTAAAGAATTTATAGGAAGGCATCATCATGGGAGGGGAGGCAAAGTTGCCCCATTTCCTGCTGGCTCATTTCATGGTGGTCACCATCCCTGAGTCTAGACAGTGGCTTCCTTGGTGGGCTCAGACAGCCCCTGGAGCTGCAAAGCGAAGTTCAAGAGTGTGGGGCTAACGCCAGAACTGAGAGCTCTGACCTTGTCTCTTCCCTCACCTGTGGGTGATGTGTGTGGGGAGCAGCTACAGTGTTTGGATAGGTTCAAGCCTTGGCCTGATGAGAGGGCACAGTCCTCGCATTGTGCAAGTCCCAGCTTGGATGGCAGGGCCCTCCCAGCACAATTATAGGCAACAGCTGTAGTTGTAAGCTTGAAGCTATGGTCCGAACACGTGGCCTCGCGTGCCTGAGTGATGGAGGCCTGGTAGAGTTCAGGCCCATGTAGTTGAGTAGGATTGAAACCATGAGAATGTTGGAAACATCTTTATCATGCCCTTACTTTACCTCATGGCATCTGCTATAAAATACAGACATGGCTGCTGGGCGTTGTCGCTGTCTCTCAGAGAAGCAGCGTCCCACCCAGACCTATCTTTCATTCTCTTGTCGGTCTTTTCTAAGCCTTTCAGCTGTCCCACTCAGGTTCACCCTTGGCCATCCTGGCCAGGCACAGACGTGCTATTCACTCTGTGCTACCTGTCACTGTGGGTCATGGCACCTCTTTCTCTCTTTGACGACCCCATATAAACATGGGAGTGAGGTGACCCTGCCTCCATCCCCTGGACTTTGAGTTCACAGGCCCTGCAGTGACCCCAGAGGTCTAGTAGTGGGGTTAGGAGGAGGTTTTGAATCAGGCTTTTCTGGGACCATATGTTGAGCTTGCTGTCTATCAGCCTGGTGCACATAGGAACTTTGCTTACCTCTTGCTCCCTCAATTCCCCATCCTCAACATGAGGGTAACAGCACCATCTCATAAGGTTTTGAAGGTTTAGGAGGAATATCAATATGACAGGTAAGGTGATGCGTGGTATAGTTATGGACTTATAAACCGCTGCAGACTTTTGTTAGATGGCAGAACAAACTTGTGGAAGGACTGGTGATACTCAAACAGAGACCAGGCTGCCTTTCAGAGTCCCATCCTCTTTAAGTTCAGAAACCCAGTTTTCTCTACCTCAACTCCTGTGTTCTTAAGGCACATCCCATTGTCTTCCCCTCCCCAGCCCTAGGTTTCCTTACCCAGAGAATAATGCTCTAGAATAGTGCAATCCCTTGGGAGTTGCCTAAGATTTTATTGGAAGATAATAAACACACTCTCCTGGGTGTGGGCCACCCACCTGAGTGAGGCAATGGTCCATTAAGCAGAGAGAGAACATGGCCCAAATGCCTGGGAGGAGCCAGACTGAGCCTTATAAAGGGACCAGTCTTTGCCCAGATGCACAGCACACTCACCTTCTCCTCAGTGACACCTCGTCAGCTCCGGTAAGTCTGCACCTGTTTGCCAGGTGGGTCATCAGGGCCCAGTGTGTTTTTCTGTGTCCAGGAATAGGGAGAGCGGTGATGGGAGCGGATTCAGGAACCTGTATCCAGTCTCAGCTCTGCCTGTTATGGGTCTTTTCAACAGGATCCCACTTGGTCCCAAGGGCCTATCTACAACAAGATGTCTGTACTGATGCTCCTATTGCTCTGTTGGCTCTTCTGTGACAACTCTGTTGAAATGTCCCTGGTGGGAGCTCAGTATAAGAACCTTCCTCTGCTCCTTGTCTTCTTTTCTCTCTGGAATCATCTGACTCTCAGGCCATGGACTTTGCACCCCAACCTCTGGGGAGACTGGGTGGCTCTCCCAAAGTCGTGAGATTCTCCTAAACAAAGGCCTGGGATGCCCACTCACTTTTCCCTGGTGAGGAGACCTGCCACTATGTGGATCAGGGACTCATCAACTAAAGTTTTGGACCTCGTCACCAGCTGAGGGAATGACCAGTGACCTTCTGTGCACAGGGCTCAGTTAAAGCCTTGGCCAAGTTGACAGAAGGCCTTAGGTGGTTCCACTTAGGGACATAACAGAAAGGATCTTTCTCCCAGATCAGGAGACAATGGTAGTTTGTGTTAGATGCCCACACATGGGAGCCATACACATTTCTTGAGAGCTTGGGAGAGTCTGAGATGTGAGGGCTGCACTGTCCCATTTCTCTGCTTGGGGTCCAGACTGTTGGTGGAGGTACTGACTTTGGGAGGTCTGACCTCTTTACTTAAATGTGGTCTAGCCTTGGGGTTCCAGAGAGCAGGGAGGTACAAAGGTCATCTGAAGGAGCCTATCTCCCCACATTCCACCCAATAGCCTAAAACTGTGGCAGGTATTTCTATTTATTTCAAACATGATGCCAACACTGGTCAGCAGTTCTTCTTTCAATCTCGTGGGTGTGGTCCAGGAAACCTTGTGGGAGCTCAGGACAGGGCTGTATATCTCTGCTCACACTCACCATCCTACTCACACTCACTGCTGGGAGCCTCCAGGGCCCGTTTCATTTAGAGCTTGCTTTATGATCACAATGGGCACCTCAGCGGACTCATTCCAAGAGCAGCCCAGGGCGGGTCACGCCAGACTAGTCAGGAAGTTATTTTGTCCCCATGACTCTAACCCTGATGTTGACACTGGAGAAGATGGTGTTGATACTCTTGAAGAGTAGAGTCATCCAAATTTGTGTTTGGTTCAGGTCCCAAACAAAACATCAGTCCTTTTCCGTATGGTTGACCCCTACCCTCTCTGCTTCTGCCTTCTTTGGCTTTGTCTACAGTGGGTTTCTGTATTCTCCCTACCTCCTCTGGGCCCTGACCTGCATATGCTCAGGCCCCAGCCTTGGTCACACTTTCCTCCTTATGAGCATCTCATCCCACCTCCTAGGGTGATACAGTTCCTTCTGCTCCAGCTGAACCTCACTTCACAGGATCCTCAGTTCCCACCCCATTGTCCTGACTTAGGGACCCTCACCTGGGGAGAAGGATAACAAAGGTCCCTGTCTTTCTCTCTGGCAGCTTCCTTGAAATCCAAGATGGGCCATACTCAAGCTGAAGTGGCTATGATGGACTTGGTTGACCAGTTTCACAGATACACCAAACCCGATGACAAGATTAACAAGAAGGGCCTGCTGAGGATGCTGAGGGAGAATTACCCTCACTTCATCAATGCTTGTGTGAGTCTGGGTAACTTCTTATGGTTGCTTGGGCCCTGGCATGGGGGAGGACTTTGGACAAGTCAATCCCATTCTCTGATCCTCAATATTCTCATCTGCAGAAAGGCCTAAGAGGACTTTCCTGACTTATTATCAGATGAAAGAGATGGTACATTGGCCAAGTGTAAAGGCATCTGGAGATCAAGGGTAGTTACCAGGTGGTGAAATAGGAGAATAAAGAATGGGTCCCCTCCCACTTGTCACTCTCCATCCAGGAGACTGAAGCCTCCAGAAGCCTCCATTCGGTTCTCTGAGATCCAAGGGAAGGTGATAGAAATCCCATGGCTGATAAAACTTAACACCTTTCATTACAATGAAAGAGCTCATTCATAGACCTGATTTAATCTGACAGTTAGAATGCACTGAACTGAATACAAAAAGAGAGGCTACTAGGTCACACAGAGTGTAGGTGAGCAAAAGAGGGCACTGAGCATGGAAGATTCAGGAAGGCAAATAGGAGATAGGAGAGGAGGGTTAGGAATGAAGACACAAGGGGTAGGGCCTATCTTCAGTTTCTGTGTAGAACTTAGGTAGATGGGGTAATGGAAGTGGGTGAGGGGAGCAGGTCTGGGTCTAAAGACCACCCACCCACCAGCTCATTGATCAGTGTGGTACTGGGATGAGCCTGCCCACCACCACTAGGTCTCTCTTTCATTCTGACATTTGGTACAAGGATTCTCCTTCAGTGACATGCAGGGTAATGCTAACGTCCCCCTTAACCCCTGGTACAGTCCACTGGCCCACAACAGCTGCACCTGTGCGACCCCAGATGTTTCTCTCCCCCTCTCTGCCTCCTCCTCCTTCTATTCCACTGATAACACTTTTGATACTGAATTTATCTTTTCCACAGGAAAAAAGGGGCGTAGATTTCTTGGGGGATATCTTTGAGAACAAGGACAAGAACATGGATAAGAAGATCTCGTTTATTGAGTTTCTATCGGTGTTGGGAGTCCTAGCTGTGGACTACCACGATAATAGCCACGGAGCCCCACTCTGTTCTGGTGGGGAGGACAATGAGCCCAGCCCAGCCTGAGGCCTCCAGAAACCACAAGAAACAATAAAGTGTGTCTTTTGCCCAGATACAGCCTGTTTCCTGCTTTTCTTTGGCTACTTATGCTGTCAAAGCTGCCCCTTCTTGGTGAATGTAATTGTGGGTTCTCTGTGGGAAAACTTACCCAGGAATGTGCCAGGAGGGTGCCCTCCCTCTGGCCCCCAGCATAACTGACCACCTCTCTCAGCAGGGCCTCTGTCCACCTCTGCCCCTGCTCCCTAGTGCAGCCAGCGTGCCAGGTCCCAGGGTCAGCAGTGCAGAGCGTTCTGCTGGCCCAGCCATGCTTTTCCTTCTCAAGCCATGATCAACGTCTGGGGATCCAGGAACTTCAAGGAGCAGGAGCCAAGGGAGGAGTGAACACGGTGCCTCATGCCCCTGCACTCCTGCCCAGGATGACCCCAGGGACATAGGGGAGATGGCACCACTGAAAAAGGCATTGGGTGGTGGCCTTTGGGGGCACATGGGCACTGGTCACTGTGAAAAGGACACTCAGCAGCCCAGAGGATGGGATCCCCTGTCCTGTGTCCTGGGGCTCTGGGCTGTGTCCTGTCCCTGTGCATGTGTGTGTGTGTGTGTGTGTGTGTATGTGTGTGTGTGTGTGTGTGTTTTAGCCTGTGTGGGTATCCCTGTGGAGGTGAGAGAGCCACTCTGTCTGCTGAGTTGATCCTCCCAATGGTTTTGCTAAATGCTGGGAGCTGGGTGTCTGGGGAAAGCACAGAGTGATGGCTGTTGCAGGCATGAGAAGTAAAGTAGTGCTGGAGTCCAGAGAGTGTCTGGGCAGCAAGTGAGAAGACAGGACTGCAGAGGAGAGGGGAGGAGAGGGCAGGGAATGATGAGCAGAAAGCTCATGCTGAGTCATCAGTGACAATCCACTCCACTAGCCATGGAAAGAGGCGTGCCATTACCCACACAGGGCCCTTCCCATCTGCCTCTGTCCTTCTTGCATCTACAGAACCAGCTCACATCTGGAGCACTGGGCCCAGCTGCTCCTTTCAGAGCTAGAGCACCATGAGCCCACAGAGGTAGAGGCAGAGGATGAGGAGGCCTGCGGGTGGATGGTGTGGGTGTGTGGGGGGCTAAGCCACACAGAGAAGAGCTTCCAGAAGCTAGGGTTAGGCAAGTATAGAGTTGCTCTGATCACTGCCCTTATGGCCTGCAATCTGGGAAGACTTCCTGGGGTGGGCTCTGGAAATGGGACTCCATCGATGGATAGATGAGATGTTCCATCTTTAGAAGGCACATTGAGGCAGTCATGGTGATAACATGTTCTCTTCTGGGATCTACAGAACCAGCTCCAGAGCAAGTTCAAAAAAGACCTCAAGAGGCAACGTCAACTCCAGTGGCCTCTCCAGAGCCAGAGCGGGCTCTGGGCACAGCTTTCACTGACCTTCACGAGGCAGAAGAACCACCTGCAGGTGGGAGCAACTTGCATCAACTCCTGTGAAGTCTGCAGTCCCAGACCATGGGCCACATTGTGTCAGCGGCCACGGCAGAGAGGGCTCCCCCTTTAGATACAGTTTTTGAATGTTTGTGTTTATGTTACATATGCTTAGAATTCAATTGTATTTTTCTGATACTACTGAGTAAAATACAATCGACTTTAAAGAAAATGGAATGAAATACAATTAAAACTAAATTTAATTTAAGTTAAATAAAATTTAACTATGAACCTTCAGAGTGTTGTGCAAATCCATTTTTTCTGGGCCTCAGTGCTGTTATTATGAGTTATAGGCTGGGAATAGGTTATCTCTGAGAAGCCATCTAGCTCAAAGGATGCGGCATTCTTGAGACTCGAGACAATGGAGCTCTGGTGGAATTGACCAATGTGCATTTGGACAGGGTCCCTTTAAGTCAGGGCTATCCCTGGGCGACCACATTTCATTTGACGTCCTCTCCTAACAGCACATGGGCAAATTATGTTCTTAAACCCCCACCCCATCTTCCATTTTGCAGAAAATTGTAGGGTTTAACCAAGAGAAAAATGTTCCTGAACACTGCACCTGGGATAGAAACTCCACCCTGTTCCACTCCCACTGAACAGCATCCTGAGCATCACCTCTGTAGATGCAGAGCACCAAAGAGGTGTCAGGGGACAGGAAATATCCCAGGTCCTGGGTCCACACTCTTCTCTTCTACAGGCACCGCCTGCAAATCTCCTCTGGTATCAGAACCTCTCTCAGCCCTCAGCCCCTGAGCACTGGTTCAGCTGGGCCTTTTTCTAAGGCTCTCTGTCTCAGCTGAGCCCAGGAACAATTACTTCCACCTGAACAAGGTTGTGCATGTGGCCTGGCTTCTCTCTTTACATCAGTCCTCCAAACCACCCTGGAGAGACCGGACTAACACCCTTCTAGGGCACCGTGCCATGGCAGACGCTACGATGTCTCAGGACAAATGGGTATCAGCATTGGACCAGACTCATGCCCCTGCCTCCAGGAGATCAGCTCTCTGGGTTGACACAGGTATGAAACACAATTCTAACAGAATATGATGAGTTCTACAGTTGACCTTTACCATAGCTAAGTATGGAGAACATGAGCCCATTGGGGATCACACACCAGGCTCTCTTTAGGATGTGATTCCTGAATCATACCAGAAAATGAGTAACTGTATGTCTATCCACTTCATCCTAACTTTTCATGGAGCATGGCAATGGCGGGAAGCATTGTGAGATTAAACAGAGGTTGGAGAATTCAAGGAGATTAGGTCCACGTTAGAGGCCATGGTCAGTAGACTTGTACATACCGGCAATGTCCTGGGAAGTGGGGCCTCCCACCGTGCGGGAAGCAACTCCTCCTTTGGGAAGATCAGGACTATGGTCTCCACAGCAGCTGTTCACTATTTCAAATTACACTTTTTAACCTGGCCTCACCTTCCAGGTTCCTTAACTAAGTTTCACAGCCGACTTCAAAACTGGAGGTTTTTACATTTTTGATTGCTGTTAACATTAGTTGCGATGGACCTGAATTTGAACAATTCTATTTTAACAACAAAAATAGTTTTAGAGTAAGGACTATGTGCTGGAACTGCTAGGTACTAGAGATCAGTGAAGCTAAAATAAGTGTTTTTCCTCCCTAATTTGGAATACAGACATATGGGGACAATGACGTGGTGTGGTTCCCACAGTACAAGTGGGCTTAGGTGGCAGGCAGCATAAAGGAGGAAGAGCACATTTGATTGTGGAGAAGTAGTCTGTGTCCACTTCCAAGGAGAATCCCTAGAGAGAAGTTCAGATTTCTAGTCTGTTGAGATACATCATATTAAACAGGAAGGTGAGGAATTCAAAGATATTTCAGGCAAAGAGAAGCATTAAAAAAAATGGAATTGAGTCAGGAAACAATAAGACATATTGGGGTGGACTGGGACCATCAGGAGGTAAGTTCCCAGGACAGGAACAGGGGAACAGGGATGGCTGAGCAGAGAGGAAGTCAGACACCAGCTCTGGGAGCCCTGGCAGGATGGTTCCTAGCAGGACCAGCAGTCCTGGTGCAGGAGGAGAGAAGACAAGTGGAGGGATTGGTCCAAGCTGGGAGGTTTGCAGGGAGGGTATGGCCCCGAGGCAAGTCAGCACCAGAGATCTTAGTCAGTGGAGAGCAGTTGGTGTGGTGGATCATGGGGTGCAGGCTGCATAGAGACAGAAGAGGGTACTGACAGGAGAAAAGTGAAAAGGTCCAGAGAAGCAGGTCTCCCTGAGTTTGAGAGCAGGTGGAATGAGAAGGAGGCGGGGAGGGGACAGACAATACCAGTGAGAGAGTGAGGAGTAGGCAGGGAAAAGCTCAGGCATGTCCTAAATGATGACAAGCTGCAGAGGATGGGCAGGAGAGGATGCCCCTGAAGTGGAGGGAGGTGATGGTCTCAGAACTGAGATGCTAATGACACGGTGAGAGTAGGAGGTGGAGGAGTCATCCACATGGACAAATACCTCACCCACCGAGTTTCCTGCAGGTGGGACAGAAGATTTTGGAGGCAGTTGCCTAATTTCTCCCTGAAGAATGTGGCCTGATTGAGGGGTTAGCAGGAGACTGTGAGTAGGAGGTAGGGAGTGACCCAGCTGGATGATGGGATCCTCAAGGAGGGGAGCTACTGAAGCAGCAGGTATGTGCCTAGAGGTGGCCCTGGATGTGCAGGTGAGTGCTCACTGGCCCCCTGGCACCATGGAGAGACCCCATGTGTGGGAGAGCCATTGCTTGCTGAGGAAGCACTTGTGTCCTGCTTGTTTCTGAAATCCTCAGCCCCTAGCACATTTTATGACCTCAAAGAGCCCAAGGGTAATGACATGGTCCTTCCTATGACAGTTAAGGGGAACTGTCACCTATGATTGTCAGTATGAGCTTTCCACTCATTCCTCCATGCCCTCTCCTCCCTACTCTTCCTCAATCTTCTCTTACACTTGCTGCCCAGACTCTCTCTGGACTCCAGCACTAGCTTTACTCCTCATTCCTGGAACACTCATCACTCTGTGCTTTCCCCAGACACCAAGCTCCCAGCACTTAGGAAACCATTGCGAGGATCAGCTCAGCAGACAGGGTGGCTCTCACCTCCACAGGGACACCCACAAAGGCTAAAACTCACACACGCACAGGGACAGGACACAGCCCAGAAGCCCAGGACAGAGGACAAGAGATCCAGTCCTTGGGCACTGCTGAGTGTCCCGTTCACAGTGAGCAGTGCCCATGTGCCCACAATTCCCGCCACCCAATGCCTATTTCAGTGGTGCCATCTCCCCTTTGTCCCTGGCGTCATGCTGGGCAGGAGCTCATGGGCATGCGGCAGCAGGTTCACACCTCCCTCAGCTCCTGCTCCCTGCAGTTCCTGGATCCCCAAATGCTGATGGTGGTTGGGGAAGAAATAGCATGCCTGGGGCCAGCAGAATGCTCTGCACTGCTGACCCAGGGACCTGGAACACTGGCTACAGTAGGGAGCAGGGGCAGAGGTGCACAGACGCCTTGCTGAGAGAGGAGGTCAGTTTCCTGTGGAAAAGATAAATTCAGTCCCAAAAGTGTTATGGGTGGAATAGGAGGAGAAGGAAGGCAGAGAGAGGGAGAATAGCATCTGTGGCCGCACAGTTGTAGCTGGTGTGGGCCAGTGGAGGGCACCAGGGGATGAGAGGGACATTAGCACTACCCAACAGGTCACTGAGGGAGATTCCTTGGACCAAATGTCAGCATGAAAGAGAGACCTAGTGGTGGTGGGCAGACTCAGCCCAGAGCCTCACTGATCAATGAGCTGGTGGGTGGGTGGTCTTTAGACCCAGACCTGCTCCCCCCACTCACTTCCAGGACCCCATCTACCTAAGTTCTACCCAGAAATTAGGTAGGCCCTACCCCTTGTCTCTTCATTCTTAACCACCTTGCCTGTTTGTCTTCCCGAGTTTTCTATGCTAAGTGGCCTCCTTTGCTAACCTACTCTCTGTGTCACTTAGTAGCCTCTCATTTGTAATCAGTTCAGTATATTCTAATTGTCAGACTAATTGTATATTCTAATTGTCAGTATATTCTAATTGTCAGGTCTATGAATGAGCTTTTTCATTGTAATGAAAGGTGTTAAATATTATCAGCCGTGGAATTTCTATCACCTTCCCTTGGATCTCAGAGAACCTAAAAGAGGCTTCTAGAGGCAGAGCCTAAGCCTATGGGCTTCAGACTCCTGGATGGAGAGTGACAAGTGGGAGGGGACCCATTCTTTACTCTCCTATTTCACCACCTGATAACTACCCTTGATCTCCAGATGCCTTTACTCTTGGCCACATGTATCATCTCTTTCATCCTGATAATAAGTCAGGAAAGTCCTCTTAGGCCTTTTTGCAGATGAGAATATTGAGGATCAGAGAATGGGATTGACTTGTCCAAAGTCCTCCGCCATGCCAGGGCCCAAGCAACCTGGAGAAGTCAACCAGACTCACACAAGCCTTGAGGAAGTTTGGGAAATTCTCCTTCAGCATCTTCAGCAGGCCCGGCTTGTCAATCATGTCATCAGATTTTGTGTATTTGTGGAACGGGACAATCAAGTCCATCACGGACTGTTCAACTGGAGTATGGCTCATCTTGGTTTTCAAGGAAGCTGCCAGAGAGAAAGACGGGAACTTTGTGATCCTTCTCCCCAGGTGAGGGACCCTGTGTCAGGACAATGTGGTGGGAACTGAGGATCCTGTGAAGTGAGGATCAGTTGGGAGCAGAAGGAACTGTATCAGCCTAGGAGGTGGGATGAGATGCTCACACGGAGGAGAGTGTGACCAAGGCTGGGGCCTGGGCCCATGCAGGTCAGGGTCCAAAGGAGATGGAGGAGAACAGAGAAACCCACTGTGGACAGAACCACAGGAGGCAGAAGCAGAGAGGGTAGGGGTCAATCACATAGAAAAGGACTGACATTTTAGTTGAGAACTGAACCAAACACAGCATTTCGATGACTCTACTCTTTAAGAGCAGTAATACCAACTCCTCCAATGTCAATGTCAGGGTTAGAGTCATGCGGACAAAATAACTTCCTGACTAGTCTGGCCTCACCTGCGCTGGGTTGCTCTTGGAAAGAGACCCCTGAGGAGTCCATTGGAAACATAAAGCAAGCTCTAAATGAAACCAGTTCTGGAGGCTCCCAGCAGTCAGTGTGAGTAGGATGGTGAGTGTGGGCAGAGATATACAGCCCTGTCCTGAGCTCCTGCAAGTGTTCCTGGACCATCCCAGGGAAAGAAGGCCTGCTGACCAGTGTTGGCATCATGTTTGAAATAAACAGGAATTCCTGCCTCAGTTTTAGGCTATTGGTTGGAAAGTTCGGAGATAGGCTCCTTCAGATGACCTTTGTACCTCCATGCTATCTGAAACCCCAAGGCTAGACCACATTTAAGTAAAGAGGTCTGACTTCCCAAAGCCAGTACCTCCATCAACAGTCTGGACCCCAAGCAGAGAAATTGGACAGTCCAACCCTCATACCCCAGACTTTCCAAAACTCTCAAGAAATGTGTATGGCCCACATGTTTGGGCATCTAACAAAAACTGTATTTTCTTATCATCAGGATAAAAAAACCTTGCTGCTAAGTCCCTACATGGAATTACCCAAAGCCTTCTGTGAACTTGGCCAACGTCAGAGCTGAGCCCTGTGAACAGAATGTCACTGGTCTTTCCCTCAGCTGGGCAAAAGGTCCAAAACATTAGTTGATGGGTTTCTGATCCATATACTGGCAGATCTTCTCACCATGGCAAGGTGAGTGGGAGTCCCAGGCTTGGGTTCAGGAGAACCTTCTGAACTTGGATAGAGAGACCCACTCTCCCTGGAGGTTGGGGTGCAAATTGAGTCTTCCCAACCTGTGGTCTGAGAGTTAGGTGAGTCCAGAAAGAAAAGAAGAGAAGGAGAGAGGAAGAGTCTTTTCCTCAGCTCCCACCAGAGATGTTTCCACAGCGTTGTTACACAGGGGCCAGTCCAGCCATCTTGTAGATGAGATCCTCAGGACCCCAGTGGAATAAAGTTACACAGCCACCTAACAGGCAAAGTCCCATAACAGGCAGAGCCCCGTTACAGGTAGAACCGCATTACATCTGGACCCAAGCTCCTGAATCCTCTCCCATCATTGCTTTTCCCTACTCGTGCAGACAGCAGAACACCCTGGGCCCTGAGGAATCTCCTGGCAAAGAGATAGGTGCAGACTTACCAAAGCTGATGAGGAGGCAGTGAGGAGAAGGTGAGGACGTGATTGTCCTGTTCCACAAATACACCAAACCTGTGCATCTGGGAAAGACTGGTCTCTTTATAAGGCTCAATCTGGCTCCTCCCAGACACTGGGAGCCTTTGGGTCATATCTGTCTACTTCCTGGACCATTGTCTCAATCAGGTGGGTGGCACACACGTAGGAGTGTGTGTTCAGTATGTGCCAGTAAAATCCCAGGGAACTCCCAAGGGAAAACACCTAGAGCCTTCTTCTGTCCTCACTTCGCTGGGGTCAGGGGTGTGGAAGACAATGGGATGTGTTGTAAAGCACAGAAATTCTGGTACAGAAAACAGGTTCTGAACTTAAAGAGGATGGGACTCTGAGATGCATCATAGTCTGTGTTTGCTCATCACCCACTCCTTCCACAATTTTGTTCTGGCATCTAACACAAACTCTCTGCAGTGGTTTTTAAGTCCATAATTATACCACGCATCACCTTACCTGTCATATTGATATTCCTCCTAAAGCGTCAAAACCTTATGAGATGGAGCTGTTACCCTTATGTTGAGGATGGGGAATTGAGGGAGTAAGAGGTAAGCAAAGTTCTTATGTGCACAAGGCTAATAGACAGAAAGTTTAAGATATGATCCCAGAAACTCCTGATTCAAAACCTCACTCCTAACCCCACCACTAGACCTCTAGGGTCACTGTAGGGCCGGGGAACTCGAAGTCCAGGGGAGGGAGGCAGGGTCACCTCACTCCCGTCTTCATGGGAATCCTCACTGGAGCGCTAGGAGAGAAAGAGGTGGCATGACCCACAGTGACAGACCAGGGAACACAGAGAGAGTAGTGGCTCAGCATGTCAACTGCAGGCGAGGGAAGACGGGAGGTCAGAGCTCTGAGTCCTGGCGTTAGCCCCACACTCTAAAAATTCACTTCGCAGCTCCATGGCCCACCGGGGCCCACCAAGGAAGCCACTGTCTAGATTCAGGGATGGTGACCACCATCAAATGAGCCAGCAGGAGATGGGGCAAAGTTGCCACCCCTCCCATGATGATGCCTCCCTATAAATTCTTCAATGATGTTTCTCCTTCCCTTATGCAAAACAGTCTGCTTAGGAGATAGTAGCTCATGCCCTGAGGTCTGTTAGGTCCTAACCTGCTGTGGAAAATCGAGTTCAGGTGCAGGAAACAAGAGCTTGGAGGTCAGGATGAAACCTGGGGACCTCTGGGGACATACCATGCTGACTCACTGAAGAGTCCTTGTTCCTGCTCTCTGTTACCCTTAGAACATGCTCCCATGGAGTAAGGGACTGCTCAGGCATTGGGCACCCTGGGACCAGGCCCACCGCTGAGCACCCAGGTCAGGGCCCCCAATGCACTGGCCTCCATGCTTCAGCCTGGCCTTTCTGTCCCCAGTTATATCCATATTTGCATCAGCACCAGACCCCTCTGGTTCACTCATTTAATTTCTTCTTACCCCATTCAAAGCCTCCCAGGAAGGACACACAGAAAACCTGGAGCACGAGCTGACTCCGGGCAGGGGAAGTGAGATGGCATGCCCACTTTGTCCCTGGTGTAGGTTTTGAAATTTGAACAATGTCAAAATACTTTAAATTAGTTTTTAATTATTTTAATTTAAGTTTTGCTTTGTTCAATTCTGGCCTCACTGTCAGAGTCTGAACTATGTATAGTCCTCAGCTTCCAGAATCTAAACATCATTGATCTGTTGCAAGGTCTCTCTCTTATTTTACTTATATACTTATTTTCCCTTAATCTTCATTACTATTTGAACTTCCCCCCCAAAAGCCAAAAAATAAAATGTATGTTTTCTGTTTATTTTTATGCATACTCATGAATGTAAATGATTATTTTGGCCTATGTTTTATAGATGTCCTTTATGTGATATAGATCAATCATAAAGGAAAATAAAATACACTGCAATGTATAGCCCAATGAATTATCTCCAACACCTGTGACTGCCACCCAGGTCAATGAATAAAATATTGCCACCACCCCTACCAGTCACTGCCCCTTTTCTCTCTTCCTGAAAACGATCATCTGGACTTTTATGGTAAGGCTCTCTCTTTGTTTCATTTGAATTTTACCACTTAAGCAAATTTACTTGAAGGAGAACAGATTCTATATATTCTTCTATGTTTACCTTAGTTTGCTCAGTATTACATTTTTAAGTGATATCTATGTTGTACTGTTTGTTCATCATTGTATACTATATATCTTGGTGTAAATATCACATCATTTTCTATAATTCTGCTTTAGATATCACATGCCCTTAATTTTCTTGTTTTCCTTTTGTACGTTTTCCAGCTCAGGAGACCAGGGATTTTGACCTCTGACCTCATGTTCCTGTGGGGATCAGCCACCCTGTCTGGTGAGGTATGTGGAAAGGGCCCAGGGCAGTCCCTGATTGTGTAAGACTTGGGTGTTTAAGGAATAAGAAGGGGATGAGCCCATGTTTCAGGGACCAACTTCAAAACAGCCCTGTTTATTGTCAGAGACATTAGTGTTTGCAACTATTGTGACTAACAGTCAAGTCCCACCCAGGCATCGCCCTTATCACTCACCACCACCAGAAAGGCTATAGGTATCTTCCAATCCCTGAATCAATAAGTCTTTGGCAACATGGTCTACACATCCAGGTGAATCACTTGGAACCATCTCGCAAGCATTCACTGTTTATCCTGAGCCTCTCTTTCATCCATCCCTATGGATTCTGGACTCCAGCTGTCGTTGGCTGTTTGGACCGGAGACCTGGACCATTTGTTCGAGGTACAAATTTAAGAAGAACCCACTGAGCACCACTCACTGGACTTTAGGATGAACATATGGCCAGAGCAATATTTTAAAGAATTTATCTCTCCTCAATGCTCGTACTTTAGAAGTGAAGACAAAAAGAATAAAATAGAAACTGTGGATGCTGGAGATGTACAGTGACACACAGTATAACCCAGAAGGAGAGGGGTAACTTTCTGAGGAGGAGAGGCGGACCAAGACACCTTAGATGTGGCATTTGAATGAACTTCAACACCGAGTGTTCAAGCAAGGAAACCAGGAAAAAGATTCCAGACCATGACATGTGAGCAAAACTACAGCGCAGAACAGACATGACATCAGGAGGACAGAAACACGTCTAGAGCCAAGAGTGTTCAAAGTGAGAGGTTTGGGACAGGCACCAACTATGTCCCACCCAGGACCCAACCCCTATCTGAACTAACAGAGCCCAGTTTGCTTGGGGTTTAGGGTGCCCAGTACCCCCCTGTGTGTCCGGTCTCCTCTAAGCCATTCTGACAGTCCTGTCCTTGCTTTCCCTGTGCCCCTTGCAACCAAGAGTGAACATGTGTCCCACCAGTTCTGCCCAATGAAACTGAGTGATGCTGGGCCAGGCCTCTGGGACTCTGCTTTTCTGACAGGAGGGGACAGGGAGAGCTGGCCCTGCCACGCCTCAACCCATGCCTGGGTTGCTGGTCCTGGACACAGGCAGTCATCAAAAATACTTACCCAAGTGAGTTGAAGAGTTACAGCTTCATAAAAACCTCCAAATGAATGACTTTAGAAACTTTATTCATAATTGTCCCAAACTGGAAGTAACCAAGATGTCTTTCAAAAGGTAAATGAGTAAACGAACTGTGGCACACCCATACAGTGGAATAGTATCCAGCAAGAAGAAGAATTGAGCTATCAAGCCACAAGAAGACATGGAGGAAACTACAAGGATATTGCTGAGTGAAGGAAGCCATTCTGAAACAGCCACATACTGTATGATTTCAAATGTATGACATTATAGAAAAAGCAAAACCATATTGACAATTAAAATATCAGTAATCATCAAGATTCAGGATAGGAGGGGATGGCTGAGTAGTTGGGGCACCGGTGTTTTTTAAGGCAATGAAACTACTTTGCATGATACTGTGATGATGAATACGTGGCATTACACATTTGTCCAAAACCACAGAATTTCACAATAGGAACTGAACCCTAGTTAAACCATGGACTTTGCTTCAGAATAATGTATCAATATTGGTTCATCAATTATAACAAACGTTCCTCACTAATTAAGATGTTAATAAACAGGGGATACTGTGGGGAGAGGGGGTATATAGGAAATAAACTCTCTGTTCCAAAATTTTCAGCCAATATAAAAGTGTTCTAAAAATTAGAGTATATTAATAATAAAAATAATAAGATTGTGTTTCTTTTTATTGTAAGCCAAGTTTGATTGAAACAAATAGCCCTGGAGAGTTAACTAGAGGTACCCTCCTGAATATGATGCCGGGTTATGAGCAAGCATTCTATTTTCTTCTTCTCTGTATTTTCTGGAGCTCTCTTACAATCTTATCTAAAAGCTAGCTAATGAATCAAATCTGTTTTTTGAGAACTAAGTCTCTCAAGGTAAACTTATTAGCATTTTAGATTTTCTGTCCACCAGGAAATTACTTAACCAATTTATTTTATTCATTTATTTTTTAAAATATATTTTTATTGATTTCAGAGAGGAAGGGAGAGTGAGAGGGAGATAGAAACATCAATGAGGAGAGAGAATAACTCACCAGCTGCCTCCTGCACGCCCCACACTGGGGATTAAGCCCCCAACCTGAGCATGTACCCTGAGGAGGAATTGAACTGTGACCTTGGGTCATAGGTCAATGCTCAACCACTAAGCCATGCTAGCTGGGCCCAATTTATTTTAATTCTTTGGCTTATCCACCTCTCTTCCCCAGAAAGTTACCCCTCTCTTCTTGGGTTAGAGACTGTGTCATTGAACATCTCCAACATCCACAGTTTCTATTTTATTCTTTTTGTCTTCACTTCTCATGTGTGAGAATTGAGGGGAGATACATTCTTTAAAAATTTTCTTGCCATATGTTCATCGCAAAGCACAGTGAGTGGTGCTCACTGGGTTCTCCTTAAATTTTGTACCTTGAACAAATGGTCCAGGTCTCAGCTCCAAACAGCCAAGGACAGCTGTGGTCCAGAGTCCATTGGGATGAATGAAAGAGAGGCTCAGGATAAACAGTAAATGCTTACGACATGGTTCCAAGTACTGACATGGATGTG